ACATTGTCCTTCTCCAGCTAACGTAATCTATCGCCAAATTTTTCTTCAATCACCTCCGCCAGCTGACGAGCCAAGGGGGCTGATCCCCCTGACCTGATCCCCATACTGGTTGGAGGGGTAACCCCTTTTGACCGAGTAGAGGCACTCTTATTTGTATTGGTGTGATCCCTCCCTCCGTGATGACAGGGAGCTTGTAACTCGAGACTCCTTTGGCGGGGTCCTTTCCCTTTCTGTCGAGTGTTCACCATGATCACTGTTCTTTATAGAGAGAAAACTAGAAAAACTTGTCGTTTCCCACAGACGGCGCCAGATTGTGCGTGCAAGATCCTGCANTGCTGTTTGGGGAAAACGTCTCGAACCATTTCATCGCAGAGTCCCCCAAGCTCATAGGGAACACTCGGCAGAGAAACCGTTGGTCCGAATGATAGAGGGACATCATCTACTTGTATTGCCTGATATGGGCTTCGGGGTCGGACCGCCCGTCATAGGTTTTGAACCGTGGCACGATGAACTTTCTTGAGACCTCCATCCCACTGATTTCCCTCGTGAAGGGTGTTTGTATGACTTCGTCCTCGGCCTCATCCTGGACAGTCTTACCCTTTCTCCTGGAGTCTAATCGGGCTCTGAGATCTATTTCTTCCCTGACGGGATGCCTTCTGAAGTCCCTGATTTCATCGGTAAGCCCCTCATTTCCTGGGCGTCGTGTGGATTGGGTTGAGTCCTCTTCCGATTCATCTCCCTTCCTCCGTCTAGACAAACCTCGCCGGAGGTCGTCCAGGGCCAATGGCCTTGCTCTCCGGGAATGGTTGTCATGATGATGTTCGCCGGCTCTGGGTCGCTTTGGGGTCCTAGAGCTTTTTGCTTTGTGGTCTAGGTGGTTTCTAAGATCCTTCGTTTTCGCCTCCCGGGCGGGAAGTCCACGGGAAAGGAATGAATCCCTTGACCCTCCGCCTGAGGCGGCAAACTCGTCGAGCCGGCTAAGGACGTTTACATTGTCCTTCTCCAGCTAACGTAATCTATCGCCAAATTTTTCTTCAATCACCTCCGCCAGCTGACGAGCCAAGGGGGCTGATCCCCCTGACCTGATCCCCATACTGGTTGGAGGGGTAACCCCTTTTGACCGAGTAGAGGCACTCTTATTTGTATTGGTGTGATCCCTCCCTCCGTGATGACAGGGAGCTTGTAACTCGAGACTCCTTTGGCGGGGTCCTTTCCCTTTCTGTCGAGTGTTCACCATGATCACTGTTCTTTATAGAGAGAAAACTAGAAAAACTTGTCGTTTCCCACAGACGGCGCCAGATTGTGCGTGCAAGATCCTGCACAATATAAAAAACGAGAACAGATCTCTCCCCTGGTGAACTTCGAGTGAGCCGGTTGAGTGACCAACCACGCTGCCTGGAACAGCCTGCGAGGTCCGGTGGTAGCCTGGAACGGCAACGGGAGACCCTGGGGGAGCTGGAGCACGATCTGGTAAGGCTGAAAGGGGTTCCTGGAACAAATAAGAACAAGTTAGAAGGGCGCCGGAGTGTTTTCCGGCGTATCCCCTCCGACGGTCTAGTCAGTCTTTGAGTGAGAGAGAGGA